ACGTGTGTCTCCTTTACTCCCTCCATCTCCTCTCACCCGCCTCAAAGAATTCAGCCTGTGGCCACTAGAGGTCTTTTCCCTTCACATGGAAGCTGCCGTGCAGTTTGTTCGGCTTTTTATTTATTCCTACGTGAGCAGACCCACTACACTTCTTGCATATAAACAGTGAAAATTACAATATAAAGGACTTATTATTCCTTCTTTTGGAGTAATTCTGCTGCTGGCCAGAGCCTGGCTCATTTTGCACGGAGAGGGAGGACCTCCGCTGCAGGTAATGCCACTGCTTCAAGGTAAGGGATCTGGGTAGGTTTTATTTTTTGTGATCGCTGATCCTGTAAGAGGACATACTATCATCTCTTGGTCAATAGTTTACTTTTAAAGCTTTGGCTTAAATGAGTCCTGGGATCGTGAGCTTTGTGTGCGCGTGTGGTGGTGTGTGGTGGAAATCCACCATTGTCAGAACTGCAGGCTGCCCCACATGCACAGACACTGGATGCCTGTTATTTGCAGTGGCTCGATTTGAATTTGAAGGGGTGGGGGGAAGCAAAAAACCAGCCTCAGAGCTCAAGTTGCCTGGAATTATCGCCAAAAGGCTGCAGCGTGTTAAGCCTTGTTCAAAGAAACTTCCATGCTTTGTTTTAGAAGAATAGAAGGGGGAAGGGGTCCCAGTCCCCATCTAGACAGAGTGACCGTTTGATGAAAGAAACCGTGAGCCTTTCAGAAGGACTTGCTCGGGGTGCTGCAGTTCACCAGTCAGTCAGAATTACTTTTGCCAGCGTGTTCATTTCTCTGTTCTGACTACCACATGGAAAAACCCAGCCGAGTGCCTTTCCGTACGATTTGCAGTGCGATGTGACTGAAGTTTGGACAAGTTGCCTGCATTTGGCTGTTCATGAAAAATGACAGTGTTTTACTCCTGACTGGAAGCACCCCGTTTTTTCTTGGTATCGAGCCCACTTTAGTATCGAATCTGTCAGAAATCACAACAGTGCGGCTGGTTGATTCGTGAAATGGCATGAGACGCCAGCAGCAGGTTCGTATTTAGAAAAGGCTTTTCCTGTCATTTAAAAAAAAAAAAAAAAAAAGAAACGAAAAACAAAAATCCTCTTTGTCACGCAGCGATAGAATGATGGCATAACGTTAGGCTTCTCTGACGTGCATCCCTCTCCCAGTAGTATCCCCGACACGGCGACCCACCTTTTTGCTTCCCGCCCCCTTCCCTTTTTACAAGTTTGAAACCTCACTTCTCCATCCTCCATGTTTTGCATGTTTCGAAGGAGACGGAGGAACGGGGGCTGGGGTGCCGATCAGACTGCATTTACCCAGCATCTCAGAGACTCCTGACGCTGACAGAGCTCGAACTTTGTAGTGGAGGAGACCAAACTGTCGGCAACATGGAAAAGCATGAGGGACGGTGTCGGGGGAGGGGTCCCTGGCAGTCCAGGCAAGTGAGAATCCCCCTTTCCAGCCCTCGCGGAAATGCTGTAGTGGACATATATTTACTACCAAGGCGTGAGGTAGCCACTCATCCATACCCAAGTAGCGTGCCAGGCACCCGGATGGGAAATTGCTTCCTAAAAGGGAATACCAGGGGGACATGCATATTAAATTCTGGAGAGAAACTGTATCGAGACGCTGGCACGAACCAGGCAGAGTCACCTCCACTCCGTTCGGGGTGGTTTAAAATGTAGCTAATGAATCACAGCATGAAGAGAGAGGGTTTGAAATTAGGTCAAACGTGTAAAAATAAGCACGATCATCACAGGCACTCGGCCGATGAGGGGGTACTTAACACCTTGAGCGGCGGGGCTTATTTGCTTTATAGAAGCCTCTTCAGCCATCAGCGACAATCAAGCCTCTTAATGAATTCAGCCCATCAGTATGTAGGGAGGTCTCACACCTGGGAGAGAGCTGAAGCTCTGAAGGAAAACAGTCAGGGTCTTGTCACTGTCTGATGGCAAGAGAGTCAAAGAAAAACCTAATAATTGTGTGATTGATATGAATTAGCAGGGAGATGAGGTGATTGCGATCAGGAGAGTAGCTCTCCCCAAATCACTCTGCTCCACGGCATAAAATATCATCACCATCCTCATCGTCATCCTCATCGTCATCGTCATCATCATCATCATCATCATATCGATAAGGCCAATAGTTTTGGTGGACAACACTCAAACATATCGATTTAACCACTTCGAATGCAAACACACCTACACACCCAATCAGTGTCGAGTGAGCCAGGAAGAGGCTCTCAGTTTGCCCAGCCTTGAAAAACAAATAAAACAGGGGGAGAGGGGCATGGCTGCTGCAAAGGCGTCCCCCACTCACCTGAGATCAGTGCTGAGTGATGAGATCGCAGAGGGAGGAAAACAGCCAACTCGGGAGCTTGCTACCTAAATGCCAACATTACTATGCGATACCAGCTGGTGACACGTTG